TTACCAGTGTTATTTATTAGAAAAATTGATTTTTATGTTGATAAATTTTGGGGATGCAGAACGGATTAACTGGATTCCCATTATTTTCAATGGGGAAGTTTGTTTCTAGATACGAGAAATTCGCTATACGAGCTCAGTGTTGGGATGAATTAAACTTGTATTTTGAGGTTCTATTGTAATAGCTGTCACGTCATGTTAACCAGCAATAAATGCAGAAATAGAAGCTCACGCTACAAAAATACAGCGCTTATACAAATTCTCTAACTTTCCCTTCTCGAACTTAGTATTTAAACCTTTTTTCCTCAAGGTAGAATTTGCATTACTTCACGCGCGATACCAAATTTAAATATTCTGCCATTTACAATTAGGGGAATGAAGGCTTATAGGAAAAAACGTAAGCTAAATTGATTATTTAAAATAAAAATAAATCTCTACTAAGTGATGTATAAAATAATGAAGTATATTAATGTTTGTTTTTTACTTTTAATCATCTTACAGACACATCCTTCCCGACAGCTCAGGGGAAGACTATGCTAAGATCTATTGCTTGATCATCGCAAACGGACAATGCACTGTTAAATTACATTCTGATTTTGGCGTGTGAATTTTGAGTTTTGGAGTTCAAGCTTTTATTTTGTACAATCATACACCCATAGTCTCCATTTCAAATATTTGTTCACCTCAAAATGCTGTATTCTAAAGGACTCAAATAGTCTCTTGCTTAGACTCTCAGCTGCAAATAATACAGATATATAACAATCTATTTTGTCATTAAGGTCTACAAAGGGTTAATATAGGTATTTTTATAGGGAAAGTGAAGCATATCTATCTAAAATTATAAGATTTATGACACTAGTATTAAATATGAACCCTGATTCATGCTCAGTTTTCTCTCATTAACATTAAATCAAGTTTCGGTTTAACAAAGTGTATTAGGAAGGTTTTACGTGCGGCTAATGTATTCGCTGGATTTGTCGAAGGCATGGCTTTTGTAAAATTACAAAATCAATTACGTTGAATGCCCTCATGTAGGTACCATGAATTAGTATGCAGAATGCGTAATATCCATCTGCGTAAATCTAGCATTCAATGATGGCTTTTTTTTTTCATTCTTCTTTAAATTCAAAATGAATCAGCTTTTCAGATGCTGTATGGCTTATAGCTTATTTTCAGTGGTTCTGGTTATTTTTGATTCCCTACCTCACACGCACGCACTGTTTCTTAATTACGAAAATGTGTTCCTTCTCATGATTCTGGACTTTTTATATTGAAGGATTGCTTATATTCTACTTCAACATATATTCAGGTGCAAAAGATTAACCATACACCTCATCCTTGAAAACCTAGTTTTTGTCATGTATAATTTTAAGGCGCTTGTTTTAGGAATATAATAATTAGTTATTGCTACAGCGTCTTTTTTAATTTTAGCATATACCCCTCGAACCCATTTTATTCCTTTCTAAAAGTCATCAGAATTTCGGTACTTAATACTTTATATGGATATTATTATTTGTGCATGACATTGTGCAGGAAAAGTGTTTCTGAACTGCTCAAAGTAACTCCAACTTTCAATCTAAGCTAATAATTTCTGTTAGGCATCAGCATTCTTAGGCAAATCTCACCGTCATTATAACTGCAGAATTCTAGCCCAAGCGTTTGGACGTCCAAAGAATTAAATTCAGTAAAATTTACATTTTAACACGTTTTGGTAAAATGGTTCAGAATTTTCCATTTCAATGTAGCATACAATGCGCAAACAATATGACGTTCGACAATACTTAAGTATTGACCGAATTAGTGACTTCATAAAATATGCATTACATTAGTTGTTCTCGAATCCAAGATGTGAAACATGTCTGATAATTAAAATAAATTAAATTTTTTTGAATCAAATTTCTTCAAATTCACAAAAGAACTTTAATTGAACTAATACTGCAGATAATTTTGTTGTTTTCGTTATTACTCATATAGGACAGTTTAACATGTCCTTCGTTAGGAGGACATAAAGCTATTACTTAGTAGTGTGAACACTACGTATTTAAAGTCTAGTTCTAGTGCAACTGATTGCAATTAGTCCATTATTCTCATTTACGCGACACTTGATCAATAGAACTGAATCCTTGGAAATTTTAATGAGTTGGACTTTTATCTCCTTCAGCTGAATGTTAATGCTGCTTCATTCATTGCACCAAATTACGTTAGTATTTGGCACTTGAAAAGGCTACGCCAGAAAGTGAAAAGATTCTTAAAATCATCTCAGGCTTGACATGATGACTTGTAGGATCTCCAAATTCACTCCAGAACCAGAAATGATAACTGATTCTTTTCTTGAGTCTGCAGTATGTGCGGCAGTCTGTTTAGCTAATATATATGTTGGTATGCGGATGTAGTTCCCTCTTAATATTTGTACTCTTAAAATCGAAATGAGGATTCTAATTATGCGCAGTACCAGTATAAACTAGAAAGTTTCACTTAATTTACGTGTCTTTGGCTACTAGAAACTATAGGCAAGTGTCTAGCGACTATTCGCTGGTCTTCTTACAACTATAAAATACAAGTCCAAAGAAGGGTTAAAATACCCTTTTATTCCCTCAAATATAAACAGATGGCCCTTCTCGGGCTTATAGGAAAGCTTTAACTGAGCATAGAAAATAAGAAACTAATTCTAACTAGCTAAAACTTAGCCGAAGCTGTACAAGGATAACTAAGCGACTTGGCTTTTATCAAGCCACAGCGGCGAATACTAACAGACGCATAAGACTATGGCCGTACGTAGTAAGATATGCTTAAAGTAGCAACGTAGCCCGAAGGCAGAACACGCTCTACTGAGAACTTCTGATCTCTTCTACGAAAGTGACTGAACTTCCCATTAAATACTGGTTCTACTTCATTTACATAAAATGCGATACAGAACTCTCCTTCTAGCACAGAGTTGTGAAAACAAGCATTTGAAGGAAAGGGTTACAAAATTAAAAATAGCTATTAGAAAATTAAAATATTCACTACAAAATAAACAAAAAAAATACAGCATTAATATGATTAAAGATAAGATATTAGCATAGCTGTGTAACCCATCCTACTAAATGCTAATACACATAAGCCTTTGATAAAGGTTAACTCCAATCTTCATTTATCTTTCTTAATTCCAGCTAATTTTTATGTTCGATTTATTTATTTGTTCATTTATATAGAATTTTAGTTTAGCAACTGCACAGCACTAAAGTTCTAATCAACTTCATCATATATTCTGTTTGATTCATTTGTTTTGATAATTCGCATTTCTCTTAAAGGAAAACCTGGGATTGAATTATTTGATAATAATAAAGCACAACAGGGCCATCCATAATGACCCAAACAAGGAAACAAAATTTGGGATGACTAGCTCGCATTTATGTTTCTCATTAAAAATAATGGACAATTCATGCAGCTAAGTGGTTGAACCGCTACGGAAAATAAATTTTAGGATCAATTACCAGTGCTCAGCATCTCACCAATGGTCAGCCAAAAGATTCGTTAAAAAACATATTCTAGAATTTACTATAGCTAACTGTTAAATTTGTTACCATTTTCCTCTCCATAAAATAGTACTGTACTTATAGATATGACATCATATTGTATTTCTAGAAAACCATCCTCAGATAAATACCACCATAGATGAAAGTATTTATTGAATGATGGAATTAGAAAGATACTGTCGTAAATTTAGATCAAAGATTGAAAGAAAGCAGCTACAAAAGTACCGGGTGAGTTCAAAAATGTGATTTAAAACTAAGTCAATACAAAAACGGTCAGTAGAAAATTTATGGTGAATTGCAAATATTCATGGTGGGAGAAGAGAGTGGTATAGCATTCATAACTAGCCCCTTGATGATAAACCAGTCTTCATAATTTTTACAACTTATGACCCTGTTTATATGTGAAGAACATCGATTTATACTTTCGATCTGAATTGCAGAAGAGTTTGTCTTGTTTCGGACAATCATAATGCGGTACTTTCCGACTCAATTATAATCCTGCAAGATCATATTGCTTGGAAGCGATTAAATAAAAAATTGGAGTGTCTATGTCCTTCATGTGATGCAAATATTATCTTCTGTAAGGAATGCCAAAGATGAAAAAGATTACATTTAAGCATTACATGTTATCCAATCTGCGCGTGCCAGTGTGGCGTTTTGGGAAAGCCAACAAGGGTCCTTACCTTTCATAGCCTCTTCAATTGTATAACCACAGTTGTAGAGCCCCTATTATAGATCCAACAACTCTCCTGCTCCATAATATTTACAGGAATTTGAGCACCTTTTCCACGAATTATAAATTCCACTCCCTGAATTCAGGCAGTTTCTGTATTTAAAAATATCGCTCTTAGTAAGGAATTAATACTTTTGCCAGATATTTCTACACTTTTGTCAAATACTATTAATTTATGAAATAAAATTCGATACATTTTATGCCAACTTCTGCTTCTTAAAAGAAAAAAGAAAGTAAAGCGGGTTTTTAAATCGTATAGCAAACGTAAATCGTATGCCTAACGAAATCAGATTATGGTCATGTTAGTACGACGTCGTAAATTCTTCTGCTTTTCAGCCCATTTGCATCGTATTTATCATCAAAATAGCTATATGAGTCTAGATTAATCTTAGCTTCACAAATGAAAGTATACTCCCGTTCCTAATTACGGGATAATTACGGTTCCTAATTACGGTTCCTAATTAAGTTAAATGAATATTTTATGTAAAATAAGGAAGAAACCTGTCAATCTTTTACATTAAATTATTATTTTATATCTACCAATCATATATTGTGTTTCTCAGTTAGCTGCCTTGGAAGTACGAATTGATTAACAAAATCAATTTGTAATAAGAAACAGTCCAATTACATCCAGTACACATTCTGTTTCTGTAGTGCACATTCTGTTTCTCAAAATTATTACTATAAAGTACGAATATAAGTATTAAAAGTTACATTTCATTTTACTTAAGAAGAAAGGAATAAGTACTTACATTTTCCCAAGAAGAATTTGAAGTACCATCTAGTTTGATATTCTGGATTTTCCAACACAGGCGTGCTTGGAGACCCATAAACCTATAAAATTAACAAGTGAAATTTATTTCGAAATCAGAAGTAAATATTAAAAATCATGAGAAATCACGTAGAAAATATTCAAAATCATGAATTAGATATATGTTATACGGTGAAATCACTGTTAACCTTTAATTAACTTCTCTTGTAGATTAATTATACTTCTTAATAAACTGATCTTATAGATTATAAAACATTATGAATTTGGACTAAAAACTAGAACATTATTACAATTTCTCAACTTTAAGCTAGAACACCATGTGTAAGAGGAAAAATATCTAAATATAAATTGTTATTTAAATCAGCCATGCTTAATTTAATGCTTAATTTAAATCTGGGCATTTTACTTTCCTTTTCTATAAATATCAGTAACGTTTTTCTGAATTCGGTCATTTTTAGAATAATCGATGTCGCATGACTCTCATATAACGTTATTGAAACCGAAACTAATTAATTCTGAATTAAGATTTGGGCACTTGCTTTCTGCAAGTAGGCCTAGACAGAATGCTGCTTGCTGCTTCCCTTCTAATCGGAAAGTTATCCAAAATATAAAATGTTTAAAATACGTGGCACTCACCAATAGACTGCCATGTATTTGTGGCCGCAGTATGTTTAACTCCAATAAAATAAATGTGATTTAAATCTACTGCGACTGCGTCTTATTGCATCTATTCTATATAACTTCCCAAGTTCCTAATTCATTATTGAACATCTTAGTATCTAGTATGCAATGAACATTTTTACGTCATTATGTCTAAGACTCTTTCATTACACATACACATACATACATAACTGTTATAAGGGAAAGAAAATAAGTAAAATTCTTAAATTTCATGGCCTCAAATGCTGCTAACAAACAAAATTGGAGAAAGTTAACAAATTTGTAATTTTTATATCTTCTATGATTAGCAACGCAGACAGAAAAGAACAAAATGAAACAAGAAATATATTTAATTAATGACAGCTGCAAAATGAAAGGATTGGAATCATCACCTAAAATTGTAGCTCTTCTTCAGAAAGCATACAATAATATTACATAATTTACCAAGTTTCCAATTTTATTTCTATAAGAATTAAAAATAAATTGAAGAATGTAAAAATGGAGGCCAATAATTAACAATTAAGAGGTGAAATCTTTCTGGGAAAATATCCGTCACTAGGCGACCAGGGCAACAAAATGCTTCAACAAAGTTCTCAATGAAAGTACAAAATAAACTATATAAAGCTTAAAAACAAAAGTAAATTTTATTTTGGAAAACAAACATCTTTGTATGAAAAAATACATGCTGACTTTGAAACTCATGTTACATTAACCAAAACAGTCTTAAAAACGCTAATTTAATTTTTGATATAAGTATAGAAGGCAGCCCAATCCAAAGAACGCTAAAATGGCGGCAGTCGAGAGAACAATGTTGTTTAATATAGCCAAAAGAGTTTTATCAAATTGAATTTAGAAAAATAACAATAAAGTCTATGCAGAGCATTAAAATACCAATAATATCCTATTGATGGCCAATGTAATAATACGGAAAACATTGAGTAATATATGCTGGTTTTTTAAACTTAAATGAAATTATCCATCTATGTTACAAATCTTTTTATGTTACACACATTTTTATGTTACACACATATATACATTATATGTTATACATTATATACATTATACATTATACATTATATACATTATACATTATACATTATATATACATTATACATTATATACATATTATGGCACGGAGGGATTACCCGCTACGTTTGACAAAGCTCTATTCAAACTTAAAAACTGATTTATTAACTTCAGAAACTATTCATTGATGATCCCCACATATATATAAAGAATTAAGGCTGTGAATGACCATCAGCGTCGAATAACGTTCCATAGATTTTAAATACACGAATTCCACCCGCAACAAAAAATTAATAACTGAGTATATAAGAAAGGAAGAAGGTACATTTCATTTTCCAGTATTGAAATACATTTTTTAATAATTAACAAATAAATCCAATTTTTCTTAAAATATCGTATAGAATTATCACGTATACAATAACGTTTGGAATTTTGAAATCATGCAACTAATTTTATAAAAAAAAGTATATAGAACTAGTTTTTTATTATGCATTTAGTTATTTATTAATCTAAACAGTTTCTGGATTTAAAAGTTAAAATGAAATGTATTAAACTATTTTTACTATAAAAAGAAGAATGCGTTTATCGAATTTCTTCTGAGTTAATTAGCTGTTATTACATGTCAATTAAGAGTGGTAAAAATTTACGCTAGTAAATTGGCACATATTTCGCCGTAAGAAAAGCGGGAATTAAACGAAAAAATCAAAACTTGCATATTTCAAAGTAATGAAGGATTAATAGCCCAATTAAAGTTTCGCAGGTGTCCTCCGCTTACCAAAAGCATTCTGATAAAAACGTATTAAGCCAAAAAGTAGCAAAAAGCGAAAGCAATTACGATTAATTTAAACAGGAAATAATTCAGCATTCCTTGATCTTCAAAAATAAATACAATAAATTAAAAGCACAAAATACTATCAAATAACGCATTAAACCTCAATTAATAAGCAAAACAAAATTATAATAAATTTATAAGCCGCGTAAACAGATATACTTAGCGCAGTATCACCGATTAAAAAAAAAAACGAATACAGTATGCGCTAATGGTAGATTCAGTAATAGATGATGCAAAACAGTATAAGGTAAGAGGAAAAGATAATCATTGTTTATATCTGTCAGTCTCTCCCTTTCAAATGGAGTATGCGCTAATGGTAGATTCAGTAATAGATGATGCAAAACAGTATAAGGTAAGAGGAAAAGATAATCATTGTTTATATCTGTCAGTCTCTCCCTTTCAAATGGCCGGATACTTGTTTTTTTCGCGTTTGTACACTCAGCTTCCATTGACCAAAATAATTCAAAGGATGACTCCGGTAGGCAATTACGCCAATAATCTCCCTCCCTTAAGTTAGAAAGTTGAGATTTATCTTCTTTGGCTGATATGAAAAGTTTCACATACGACAGGATGCTTCATTGCTCATTAGAATGATTTTGCAATTATTCCTTTTAAATCCAGGCAAAAGTACAGATAAAAACATATTTAAACATCGTGCTCATTTTTAATGCTGCTTTCACTTGTTTCAAATGGTCAGACATGCAAATCAATCCGTTCGTCGAAAATGAGACGTAATCATAGGTTATTTATTTGTCTCATCACTGAGAAAGTTATCCAAGGTGAAAATACGGGGTGACCGAATTTTACGTGCCCAAGGGAAGTTCGATTCCATTTCTTATACAGAACCTCTCGGACGACGGATCCACTCTTACCCCCATTTCCATCAAATATCTCGAGAGGATTTTTGGTTCATCAGTATTTTAAGTGCTGCTATCCCACACAGACACTATACCTTTAGAAAAGTCGAAGCCTCATTAAGTAGTCGAACTCAGAAAATTGATACATCAACTATCAGCACTAACTACTGTACCGATTAGAACGGCTGTTCATTGATAATTAACATGACTCTTTTTTTAAACATGAAGATGAAAAGCCAAATAATATTTCATATATAAGCAAACTTTTGTAGCTCTAGAGGTTATAAGATTAGATCTGCTTATCTTAGGTAGCATACAATTAGACCAGAATTCTAAAGACAACTTGTGAATTTTCACTATTTCTTATAAATACAACAGAGAGAGGAAAAGCGTATAAAGGACCCTTTTATTCATCCAAATAAAGTATAACAGACGGTCTCAACTTATGCTTAGCTTTGGCTTTAAATCAAAGATAATGAATGGGCTAAAATTAATGAAATTTAAGTATAGCCTAACGGCTCAATAGTATAATAGCGTGCAAGCTAGCTCTGATCGAAGTCGGCGTCGCGCGAGCTAGAGATCTACATTCTGGCAGGGAAATGAAAACGAGGCTTGATATAAAAGTAAATTGCTATAAAATAACTGATTAGAAATTTAAATGATACTTTGTAAGTTATCTGTGTATAACGTTTTAAATCCCAATTTTAAACTACACTTATTTTCTAGAGAAACGATACTTCCTTTACTTAAAAGTTTTCCAATGCTATTTTTTGGATTAAATTTTCACAAGTTTACATTCGAAGAATATAGAAAAATAATCATGTTGTAAGCAAATGTAATTTTTCTTTTCCAGTAGACGGAAATGTTCAGACCATGTAAATTCTTTCTAGTGTGTCTTCATATAAATTCTGCGGGGACAGTGGCCTAAGATAATAAAAGATAAGCCTATAAAAAGCACATCGGATAAGTAAAGTTATTATTTTAAAAATGCGTTACTGATATTACTGATATAAAATGGATGAACTAGTTTTCCACGTTACAAATGCTTTTCGTGCAAGTAACATACTAGTTTTCAGCCTCCCAATGATTAGGTTCTCATACATAAAGGAAGGAAAAATTCTTGATTTTTAAAAAGAGCTTCTGATTTTTTTCGAGTTTTGCAAAAGAATCGTAATTTCTTCTTGAAACGATTGTGATACACAAATCGTTGACCCAAAGAAATCCTTTTTTTGAAGTTCACTCTTGTACGGATTGTCTTAAAATTTTATTAGCAGTATGGTACTTTCTTATATAAAAATGTTAAAATAGCAACACAAATATCTTCAAAACCACATGTCCGCAAAATATGCCCCCGCATCAAAAGTATGTGAAAACATTTTCCAACCAAATTAAGAATAATACATAGTAAAAATTGGCAAACTTCAAATTTTTTATGGACCCCCAAAAGGATGTCAATGAGGGAATATTATTTCCCATAGTTGAATTAGTGAATACGGAAATCTCCTTACAGTGAAAATTGTCTAAGATATCTCTTACTAATTCATTAAACTATCAATGAAACTATCAAATTCTATCAAAGCGCTCATGATACGCTTGTCGTCGCAAAAGGCTTGAGCACCTTGCAGGTGACAGTGCGATTTTGCCCAGTTTCACCCTCCCCAATTTGATCCAGAACAGCCCGGGGGAG